CGTTGACAGTGGATCAAGTTCGGCAATGCAGTACCAGTTATCATGTGCAATCTCTTGAGTGAATCAATTACGAACCGGAAGAAATCTACTACGGATGTGTTCGCTGAAACCGGAAGGAAATTCTTGACTCGATTTGGCTAGATGCGCTTATAAGATGCCGACAAAATCAGAAAATAAGTCTCAATTTCCGCTTTTGACGATAGTCAAGTCGCCTTGATTTCACTTTCGCTCTCGGAATCGCGCTCGTAAATATCCTTAATCACCCTAATGGTCGCACGCATAGGAAATGGTTCCACCAAACGAGTGAAATTGGTTGGATTATTTGTTGTCGATTCAGTATGCGGGCGAAACATAAATTAAATTGCGTCGTGATTGGGAGCAGTTTCCAAGAATCGGAATCAATTCAAACACAATTTGTCAACTATGCGTTTTTCAGCGGTGACATCCAATTATATTCGCACTAAGTGAGCGTTGTTTGAAAGTCTCAAACCAATCAAATAATTCAGAGTCAGAAGGAACTGATTGCGGAGTGCACTGAATGTGATCCTTGATTCTGAAAGTGCTTGTGTTCGTCCATTTGTCACTTTTAGCGTTTTCAAAGTTTTTCGCTAACATAATGTCCCCATTGACATTCAAAGCTGATGCCATTTACAATGTTCTCCATTGGAAATAGCAGCATTAAAGCTTAAATAACCTAGCTTTGATACACATCGCTCAACCAATGCTCAGAATGCTCGGAGCTCATTGTGGAAACCACCATTACGCCCTATGTTCTAATCTACTATTGAAGGAATAAAATTTTCAGTTCCCAAAGGAAGTTCCATCCTGAGTTTCGGTACATTTTTATTTGAAAAGCAATCAGATGGAATATGGATATCCAATTACATTGGTTTGTTTTGCGAATTCGATGAAACGACTCAACTGGGACACTAAAGGAATGCACTCTAGTGTGTAATAAATCAGCTGGAGTAGAATGACACCAAAGACAGTGTAAAAAATAGGACTTCATTGAACGGGTCAAAGCGGAACAAACATCGGATTTGTAGAATGCTGCAGCGAGGGAAGTGTCATGCTTCCTTGGAATTCCGCGCTCAACGAACACTTCGTACGAGCAATCTCGATACAGAGTGCTCATTTCGAAGTGAAACGTTCCTAACGCTTTGGGTTTCATTGCAGATGGATCTTGAGCTGCAATTCTATCATATTTCCAAAGCACTTAATTCACAATCACCAAGCAAATTCACTTTCAGACACATGCCGGAGCACGCATTCACTCTTGAAGTGTATTTATAGAAAAGAGTCATCGATTGAGATACACATCGCTCGATTGATTTGCATGAATGTAACGCTTGACTGCTGAGCATTCCAGCAATTCAATTGAATAGCATCTTCTCTCAAATCATTTGCAGGCGACTTGCTGCAACAGCACCGATCATATGTTACTGTATTGTTTGGTTACTATCACTTTTTGTTGCGGCTCCCTATTTCTTCGCTGTAATCGCTGAGGATGTGGATATGTTTGAGCCGTGGAACCAACCGCATATCGGAACAATGGTACTTGCTTGGTTATCTCGTTTATTTCATGAGCATTTTGATACGCCTTAGAACCATGGAAATAAATGATACACTATGCTCAAACGTGATGCATTATTATTAATGATTTAAGCGATCAATTATTTATGATTGTTAGTGCCGTCAACGAATTTTGTTTACATGAGAACTGTTTGGTGGGACGCAGTCAAAAGAACAATTTACAGTTAGCCGTATGTCACCGACGTCGTCCCCAAATCTGTCTTGAGAAAACATGGCATCGATTACCGTTTTCAAGACGTACCTATACACTTACCGTACTCGCAATACAATACCTTCTGCCGTTAACAGCACTCGCATTCGGTTACTCGCAAATCGGTTCAACGATTCGACGTCGAGTCAAGGCAAGCACTACAGTTGATCAACAACGAAGACACATCATGATGCAACGAAACAGGTTCAATCAATCAAACGATTTCTTCTGTTTATTCAACTTTTTGTTTATTCCTTGAAAACATTTTCATTGACTCTTCCGACTATTTTTAGCATAATATTGCAGTGAGAGCGATTTTGAGGAGTTAATTTCTGTTGGTGGTGAGGTTCTCAATTCTTAAATATCAAATTGCATCTTCCTGAAATATAGTATTATACTAGTTGAATTCTCATTCAAAGCTTTCTTTCAGAAAAGCTCTATTACTTCTTCTTCTGCTTGTGTTGATCTATGCGATTGCGTGGTTCCCAATGAATGCCTACAATGTCCTCAACGTTCTCGATGTGATCGAATTCTCTCAGTATAGGTCTGTTCACTCGCCATTCACTCAGATACGTGCATTCTGGCCATTTACTTTAGCCAACAATATCAGTGAATCATTATTTTCTTCGAAAACTCGTCTGACACTTTCGAATCGTTCATCCAAATCGGTTAACCCAACTTTAATTGAATGTGCCGCATATTGGCAGCAATCGTTATTAAACTTTTTGTTCACACATTACTGCTTTTGAAAATTAATTCGATGAATTTTTCCAAACACAGACAAGCAAAAAGTACAAAATGCACGCACAAGTCATCATCCATCGAATCAATTATGGAATATGAGTTTTTGAAAGGGGTAATTGAAAAAAAATGCAATTAAAATTTACTTTTATATCGCTCAGTTCACAAACCAAATTGATTATTTCGCACCAGTTGTAGTGCAGTTTGCAGTGTTCAAACAAATAATTGTTTTTCTTCATTCAGTTTCTCCGAACACATTCGAATATTCATTCAGGCGTTGGTTGGTTTGATTTTATATGCATTTTATATGCAATTTGTAAATTATGAACTATGAGCACATGATGAGTGCGAATACATTCTCGAAGTTTACCACGTCACAGAAGTAATCAACAGTGTACCCACATGCCACAATAATACATTTTTGCATGAACAACAAATGAACCAGGAATAATCAGCGGGGGTTCTACAACGTAACTGATTATCAAAGTGTCTAGCAACATAATTTAAAAAATCATTCTGATTACACTGACAGTAGGATGCAATGCACTGTCATGGTTTAACGTCTCGACAGCTCCAAAAATATAGTAGGAAGTTATGAGTTTATATGTAAGCCATTTTGCAGGTACATTTTTTGCCATTTGGTTGGAATGACATCGGCATGCATGAATCCGATCATGTACGGTCTCTTGAACGACAGTTTTCGATCAGCATTCGTCTCTATTTTGCGGCCCTTTCTGCGGCCTTGCACAAAGTACACAACGGTCGCTGCTCCACCATCTCATACGTATACATTCTCGCTGATGGGTGCGCAAACAATGAAACCACAAGTAAATTGATCATTCAATTGAAGCATAAACCGTGAATCTGTTGAAAAATCCAATGCAGACTTTCCAGTGGTTCTGTAGAAATTAGTTGATGTTCGCTTAATGGTCAACATAGCGCCATTTAATACTATTTACAACTGGTTACAAATTGGCCGGTTAATAATTTGTCAGATGCACTGCGAGGTGCACGCAATGTGTCTGAAAATCCTGAAGTTTTGCTTTTCACTATCGTTTTGAACATTGCGTTACATTTTATGGAGGCGCTTCACGACTTCTACGAAGAAGTTTGTTTGGATGAAAGGATGTGTCGCAGGAAAAACCATTAACTGTTCGACACTGTGTAAGGAAGTTTCAATCAAACGGTGCTAGAACATCAGTGGTTGAATCAAAAGCGTTATTGTGAACTTATTGTAAAGCGATGAACCTTTTTTTTTTCGAGCTGAACGAGCCACCACTGATTTGCAGTCATCTCTCAGCGATCCGGCTCATTTTAAATAGCGCAATTTTCGCTTTCGCCTTCCAGATGTTTCAACAATAATGTTGAGAACGTTTTCAGATAGAAGAATTTCGGAAAACGATAGCCTCTCAGAAAGATGCAGATGAGCGAACGACATTGCGCACCTCAAAACGAAGCGATAAATCGAAGCAGGAAGGCGTACAAGTGTAAATGATCTCCAACATTTCATGATCACATTGATTCGTTGTGATATGTACTTAAACTGTTTGAACTTCTTGAGACGTTATTCATGACATATCGATTTTTGCCATTTATTGACTAAAATGAATCTGTTTTATTCATAGACACGGCTGCTATTAAATGAGTTTTGTGTTTGCTGCATTCACACACAATTCAAAGTGATTTAACGAAACAATTCATCACGTTCACCAAACGTGATCAATGAATGCGATTCGTGAATGCATGATTCATGAGCAATTCCGTTTGTCGGTTACCCGCAATTCGTAGTTTGCAAGTAATTCACCAACGTTTATCGATACACGCTGCGAATCAACTAGTCAAAATAAATGTGCAAAATTGAGTCGGGGATGGTGCATTTCCCGGGCACCCTGAATCTACGGGACACTATTCGCTGAATAGCTGCACCGCTTACCACAAATCCCCGTCGACTGGTGATATTTCGAACGATTAGTGAACTTTCGCAGTTTGCAAGGATAACACTTGCGAGATCCAAATTCGTCATTCATAAGCAGAATAGAATGACCTAGTAGTCTATTATACTGCCGAAAGGGATCGACATGGTAAAAATGATTGATCCTAAAGATCTTTAAAATGAGAAGTCAGGATTCAAATTTAGTTGACTATATTCTATAAGATCATATCAAAATGTTCCGTCTCGAAACTTTGGTCATTCCTTGAACCAAATTTTAATAAATCGAATCCGCCTTCCAGGTCACTTACTCGTAACTATTTCCCTGTGGCTTGCCGCCTTGGGATTTGGTAACCTGATGTTAACTAAAACATATGTGAAGGTAAAGGTGAATCTGAAGTAAGGATAGAACTCATTCACGAAGATATGGATGTCGGACAAGGCTTGACTATCCTGATGTTGGGAAAAATCAGCATTCCTTTGCAGTGAAAAAGTAGGAAGTCAACGGAAGTCTAAATAGAAATTGGACGAAACGCTAATGAATGATGATGGCGCAAGTTATCGCTACTTTACGCCACCAAAAAACTATCGCAACAGCCACAAATTTCCATTATGTGATAAAATTACCGAGCCATTACGCTGCTGAAAAAAGCGCATTCACTGATGGCGAAATAGCAAACAGCATAATCGGAAGAAGGGAAACGATCCAACTCGCAAACAAACAAGTACCACCGAATAAGACCCGTACCATTTCAAAACCCCCTCAAAAATACGCGCTTTCTATGCTCCATTTACAGAGATTTTAGAGACTATGAGAAGCACGGTTTAAGCTTCCGAATTTTTTGAAGTGTGTAAAGACATATCTGTGCATTTGTTCGTATGCATTAACGGTGAATTGAATGACATAATGTTGTTTCTTTATGCTCAGTGAAGCGAACGCATTATTAGCCGGTACCCGATCGCTTAGAATTACATTGATTTGAATTAAGCGACTCTCTTAGAATTCATCTTCGCACGAGTGAAATTAATTTGCAGCATCTGAGGCCCGGTTCTAACCACCTTCACTATGTACTCCAAATATAAGATTTCTTGATGGAATTCCAACATATGCTGAGGTTTTCATGCGTGAATAATTTATACAGCTGAGAGTAAAAATAAGCGAAATCACCATTCCTGCAGTCGCCTACGCATTGTGAATCAGCAACGCGACCGACCAGCTAGAGATGACTTTTGCAATCGATTATTCGTGAGATCCATGTAATTTTTGGGTCTAGCTGTGCGATTTTTGCTCAGTGTTCGTTGTGTGGCTATAACTGCTTGAATGCCGTCAGTTTGTGAAATTAATGAATGATTATCGAAAGAGAGCGATGAGGATAATGTTGATGACTACGTTTCATCACGAGATGACGAAAAATGTGGAAATAAATAATTGATTAGCGTTTGATTGATCACTTCATCTGTCGATGAAAGCGGAACAGATATGCCGTACGTCAGTCAGGCAATGAGATCGGAAAGTTTTTACTATATAGAAAATGTTTGTAATGAGCACAGCATCATGGCGTGTCAACAATACCATAATGCCATCATTTCATGTCATAATTCTCACTAAACATGCAAATGACGTATTGTTTCAAATATTTTTTGATGAATTTTTCACTGACTTTATAATTTCATTTATTGCTGGGATGTCGTTCTCTTCGAATTTCACTTTGCTTTTTCTTCTTCCCATCGCTACTGTCCAAGCAGAAATTAGCCGAGAAACCAAAATCATTTTTCAAAATTTGCATTATATAATAATGATAAAGTGATAAAATGATTATTTTAATAATGATAAAGTTGTAGTCGGGCCCGACATACCCGGTTAATCCCCTATACTATAAACCGCTTCAAATCGTACACCTAGCTCGGAATTTTTTTTTCTGTGATTTTTTGGCTGATGTCAGCAGGTGAACAACTTACAAAATGTCAACTCTGCATCTGCAATAATCACGAAGTTACGAAAAATTGAAAGCTTGTGTTCGGCCTCTAATGCTCAGTCGTCGTGTAACGGCTAATCTTAGTTTCTCATAGCCTCATGAATGTTGTAGACACGGACGTAAGATTTTGTAGGTTGCTGAAAGCTTGTTCATTTACATCTGTCGGATCACCAGTTGTTCGATGCGTCTAATGCAGCATTTTTCTCCGCAACTTAATTCTTGGAAAAATTAATGCGATGCATTCATCTTGCATTCATCTCATTAATTTTAGCATTCATCTCATTAATTTTTGCGAAGTTCTCTGCTTGATTGCCTTCACTGGATGGTGCACGTGAATTCAGGATCAAATATGCTTGCATTTCAAGAGATGTGAAATCAGGCGTTATCATCCAAAGGGAACGTGATCGTTGATGATACCATCGAAAATGATTCTTTCAGTGAATTGCAATTGTCTCCACTCATGAATCGAATGAATTGTAATCAATTTTATTTTGCGCTTCATCGCATTTTGATCTGATTGAACGCGACAACAACTCACGCACACACATCTGTTCATTAGATTCAATCCACTTGCGAGTGGTAATGATGAGCGCATTTATGCACTGAAGCTAGTGTATTGGGGGCCTGAGGAATTTGGGGATCTTGTCCTCGACATGTTTCGAGCTTACCGCATTTTTGCCGTCCTCGAGTGCAAAATTTCATCTGCGATTTTTTTCTTCACCGCAGAACGCTAACTGAAGCAGGCGGAAAGCCATTTGAGGTCTGATTCGTTCCATTTGCTTTATGTACATGCTTGCGTTATTCAAAGGAGATCTTATAACTTCTAGTGAAAAGAACCAATACGGAAATTCTGCATATTTACTTGGTAACAGTGACGGTTACATTACTTATAAGTCATGTGTTTTTCAGTCATATCGTCTTACCGCTCATGACCTCTAGTCATACTGCGTAGCAGTTGCCAACCGTCGTAAACGATTAAAACGTGCGATAAATGATGAGAATCACTGAATTAGGGAGTGAAAAATTAGCCGAGCACGCCGCATTTTATCGCATGTCACATAAAATGAGGTAATGTGGCACATAACCATATGACTTACGATTATGGGATCACCACATAATTATATCATATTATGTCTTATGTTTATATCATGTCAAACTATATGGTTTCATATCATATCATAACCACATGAATGTCTAGCGATTACAGCGAACTCAAAGAAAGAACATTAACTTTTTTTCAATCTCATTGATCTCACTATTTTCATCACTAATTCAATCACGCCGGGCAAGAAAAACACGCAGTTATCATCTTATTCATTTTAAGTGCACGAATGAAC